CCAAAATATGAAGAAGGAATGCTAACCACTTGACCACAATATTCAATGAAAAACACAGTGCATGAATGCAAAGTAAACAGAAGAGAGGAACTACATAGTTGAATCTTTGATGCTGCAAGATGCATGAATGACACTGATGTTCTATGTAAGGTCCAAATTACCTTGAATTTCAAACATCTGTAGCTCCGTAACCAATGAGAATTGGACCTATTTTCATGTGACATTTCTTTCTGAGAATGACCTCAGGAATAAGATCATGAAGCATTGACACAAAGTCAGTAGACATCCTATATAAATATTTTCTGAAATGCTGTGTTTGAGGTGCATGAGGATTCAAATGTTTGTAAACACTTGATGGATGTTAACATAACTGTCATTTGCTTATACTAAGTTAACAGATGCTTCAAGCAAAACTTATTTAAGGTTAGAAATTTACAAACTGTAGTCCACTATTCTGTTTGTAATGTTAAGTAAGCAACAAAATTGAAAAATGTTCACACTAGAATCAGAGAACATAGAAGAAAAGCATTTATATAAGTAACATGTGGGAACATAATCCATGTTATTAGAACATAAGGAAAATTATATTTTGCTGCTTATATAAATTTAGAGTGATACAGTGGCAACACCCCAATATATTTAACAATCATAATTCTAAAGAAGGCTGTCTTCTGGGTTGTTGTGCCTTCTAGTCTGGTAGAAGTTTACTGACATTTCAGAGGTCCTTGCTGCCTCCATCATCAGAGCGATGAATGGCAGAGGCAGCATGGACCTCTCAAACATCAGTAAACTTCTACTAGACTTCATGGCACAACAACCAAGAAGACAGCCATCTTCAGCCTCACTGCCATCAAAACCTGAAATCATAATCATAATTCTATGGCTATAAATAATTAAAGCCTGGTAAGAATAACTCTTTTATAGAAAATATCAATGTTCATACAGTTAGGCAGTAATAATAGTTCATAACACTTAACTTAGATACTTTGTAACTGCATTTTACAACCTATATACATCCCATATCCAATCCATGAATCATCTTCACTGCTGTCTGATCACTTGTGATTTGATGTTACAGCACTGCTAGAAAATTGAATAACTAACCACAATAGAAAGTGTTTTCTTCAAATTGGTGAGGAAAGAAAAATAGGCCAAAACCACTTCCTACCACCTCCTATCCTTTACATACTTTATACTAAACTTCTCAAAATTGATTTTTAAAATAATAATACATTTAATGATTCCCCTTATCTCCATGTCACAACAAAAGAAAATCTTATAATCATACAAAGAAATATTCTGTGTAGTAAAATGTAGCATGCTTCACTGAGTAACTTAACATTCCACAGGTTTTAAGGAGTTTAACTTGTCAACATCTACAATGCAACCAACAAAATCATCTGATACTACTACAACTAACAGCTTAGCTGAAGAAGTGATTTCTGTTACTAGCATATCTGGTAATGCTCCTACTTCTGCTGCACCAGCTGTTGCCCCAACCCCCACATTCCGTCCTTCCACCCCATTCTCTGTGTATATCCCAGGTACACCCAATGTGGGGAGTCGCCCTCAAACACCTGACCTGGCTGCAGCCATAGCCCCTACATCAACCTTCACAGAAAACAGTGTACCAACTCAGAGTGCAGAAAAATCAAGCATTATAAGCACACAAGACAAACAGGTGACAAAGGAATATTTTGAACAGAATCTGCCTTCTGAGACAAAGCAAGGAAGTATACAGACAAATCAGCAGAACAGCATTAGCCACATTGAGGCAAGTAGTGAGAAAATCACGAGCCTCCAGCAAAGCTCAGTTCAACAGGAACAAGTCTCAGGCAAGCTGGAGTGCAAGAATGAGGAACAAATTTACGGCCACGTTACAGCTCCTGCACACATTTTCAAATCTATTCAAACTGGGCCTGAACAGTCTGGTGTATTCCCATTCACGAATGAGGACATAACCCAGATACATACTGCAGGCAGCAAAATATCACAGTATAATAGCAGTTCAATTCAAGACACCTCAGTTCAGTACTCCGATGTTTATAGACAAACTGAGGTGACTAGCGAGGAGAGTGATACATTGTATGAAACAAAACCAATCAAATCACTAATTCAAACTTTTGAAGAAAGTAGCAGACCCCCCATGAAATATATGCACATTCGGAAAGAGGGCGTAAACATCGCCGATAACATCCCAGTGCAACAGACAAGGAAACCAGTGCCTTCACAAGCTACCAACGTTAATGGTAACATATATTACGTGGCAAGCGCGCATGTAGAAACAAGGCAATTTGTACCAAAACAGGCTGAGATAACAACACAAAAGTTGACAAGATATGGAACTTCTGAAACACAATTTCAGAAATTTTCATCATTATCATCAAGTGAGCAGCAAGAGAGTTTAATCACTGAACAAGGACACAGCTCTTCTATCCAAAATTTCCAATCCAAGTCACTCCAAAGCTCAGCAGTGAATCAGCAGCAGCTTATAACACAAATAACAGGCAAGACTGCAGACTTTCATATATTTTTGCTTGTATTTTTTTCTCCAGCAATACTTACTTTGACCATATTTTTGAGGGTGATTGCTTTTTGTATGAGAAAGTAACACTCGTTGTAAATAATAGTGATGACATACATGTTATCATCTGCATGCATTTGAATTTATAATTTTTGGCCCACTTTCCTTATGTGATACGGAAAGTTAGTCTTGTGGTAACATGTGTCCATGTATGTGTGTCAATCAACTGTGTACCGTCACACATTTTTTTTAACCTTCCAAACAGTCAATGAATTGGAAACACAGAAAATCATGCTCCTAAAGGACACCCAGTCTTCATACATTTTAATTTCCTACAATTGATAACACTGAAATGCTTGCAAATTTTGAGATGGAAGAGCCTCTTGCCCTATTCAGCGTATGGCCCTGAAATTCTGTGTTAACAACAGTTGTTTTAAAAACATGCAATTTTGTTAAGGTTTATTCTGTAGCATGCAACAGACAAACAAAATCAGAATTTTTACTATCACTTGATGACAATAACTAATGAGCAATTGCAGATAGGCATGCCAAATTTGATATGGATATTGCTGGACAAATCCATACATACCCACAAACACTGTATGAGCTTTCTTTCCTTAAAAGTTATAAACATGGCAACGCTATACAACTTCGATATTATTTTAAGGTACCAGTAGTGGAAATTTAAGCCTACAGAAATTATGCACTCAAACTGTTAAATAACACTGCTATTAATTCATAATTTCTGGTAGTCTTTCTGTACAGATGGAAACATTTAAAAGAAATGTGAAGTTCTGGGAAGAACTTCACATTCTTATTTGATCTGTACAGTACCAATCTGTAAAACAGGTGAGTATTGCATCAAGAATGTGTTTTGGAACTTTATATTCTTAATGTGTGAATCGTCTAGTTTGCCACCTTCCTCACAAAAAGCCTGAAAACTGTCTTCTTACATTATGTTTTTTTGTAGCCCTCTTTATCTGCTGTAATGTAAATGAGTCTTTGACGCTGAATATGACCATTAATGTTACACTTATAAAAGGGATTCATTATGTGGTCTTGAATGACTGCATTATAGTAGAATTATATTGTACTAATCCTTTCCTGTGTGTGTAGAATTCTCAAATTATACTTCCATATGAAAAGAGGATAATTTCTATTTTTTTGCTGTGCTGTGTTTGAACATTAATGGTAGAGGACAGAATACTGTCTATATGCTAAAAATATGTTTAAAAATGTCACAGTGCCAGTTGGCTAATTGGTTTCAAGTCAACTAAACTAAACTGATTATTTATAAATGTCTACACATTAAAACCTAAATTTAGACTAACTTAAACAAAATTTTGATAATGTGATGGATTGTTATGATAACATAAATCATTTTCTTGAACTGGGCAGTGACATTTCCCCTACATCAGATATCAAGAACCACACTGGTTAAGTGGTCCACCCAACCTCGTGTCCACTGGGTATTGGTTGCTCTTTTATCAAAGATGAAGTCACAATGCTGACAACTCACCTCCAGATGGTGCTGAGATTAAGAATGTATGGAGCTTATTTCCTCTCCCACATCTTCATAACATGGCGTTTAATTAAGCAACGTTCCTTCTACAACTCTAAGTTCAATGGAAAGCCCATTCTTTCTTTATTATAATTGACGCATGTTCTTCATAAACAACTATTTGTTTTATTACTTTCCCTTTACGTTCAACATTCTATACAGACAACTGTAAACAGCATAAAAACTTGATATGGTGATGTAAGAATATGTCAGTGGGTTAATCTTCTGACATAAACTGCTTTCATCACTAAAACTTTGAAAAAGTTAACATAGCACATGGTACATGAAATTCGATGTTACTTTCTTTGGGTCTGATCCCAAAAGAGAAACACATCATTTGAGTAACAATAAACCATAATCATTTCAGGTTCCAGTCCAGCTGTAGTCCCAGCCACCACAAGTTATGAGAGTCAGAAGCAAGAACCACCTGTCCCAGAATCTGATCCTGCCACCGCACTAACGCCAAGCAGGAACTTGTATGCAAACCTTAACAACTACAACACAGCAGCACGAGGATGGGGTCAGGGATTTGACTATTACAGGCCCGTCACTTTCAACCCTACCAAGCTAGCATACACAACATAAGTGACAGGGCAACTGCCCTCTCCTCATACCATCAACTAACTGAGGAATTTATATACTTAAGGGCACTTACGGCCACAAACATCTCTGATGTAATTCTCCACCAAGTACCAGTATAAATATCAGTGACACAAGGAAAACCAAACAAGACAGATACAAATGTTATACATAAGATTTTATTTTTGTGTGTGTAAATAAAATGTAACAAGCTTCTGATATTTTTAAAGTGAAAATGACTATCTATAAGATTACAGAACCAAATAATTTATTACCTAAAGAAATACAATACGAAATATGTCGATTACTCAGTGATCAAGATTGTAAAATTTATAGTCTAATGAACCAAATTGTGTTATTCACATATTATCCCATTTGGCATCATTTGTGGTGACAGTCCTAAGAAAAGTTAAAATTTAAAATGTGTGCATACACTAATTTGTCTCTTTGTACTGTAAGATGTGGGTGAATAAAGTATAACAATGGAAAACTACAAGAAGACCCTAATTATTTACAACACCTACCAGAGGGCTACAAGTTCTCACCAAACATGTGATATTTAAGACTAAAAAGAAAGAGAAAAAAACATATATTTTGTAAAGAGTTGTAATCACAGATCCATAACATATATTAAAATGGTGTCACACTCCATGATTAACTCTTTGATATGTTATGTATGCATGGTGCCTGATAAGGTATCCCCTCACATGTACATTCTCAAACTAATGTGCAAAAACTCTTATGTTTGCTTTGATTCAGAATATTCATCATCTGTTGCTGTCTTTAGTTATTCAATGAAACTAATTTGGAATTGTATAGTTCTGAAATCTGCAGTTATAAAATATATAAATCCATCAATATATGCAGCCATAATTTCATATATGAAAAATAAGAATAATTAAATCATGCACTACATATCCAATTTCATTATATTTTAAATTGTAAAAATGTAACCAAAAACACTGATTCTCTAGTGTATGGCAGATGGTATGATAAACCAATGGATTATATATGATATAAAACAGGAGTATGAAAACAACATTGCAAAAATTTATGTATTAATCTAGAGCCTAAAAAATTACCACCATTTAGATTATCTGAACTATCAAATACAACTTATTACCATTGCAAGAAAAACTCGTATCTCAAAGAATCCTAATATAAGTTTAAAAGTTGATGTAAGTTACTAGACAACAAGGGAATCTCATTTACTCAGTTTAGAGAAATTATAAGGTTGTCATGTGAGGGCAACATTATGTTGCACTTGTATTGTGTTTGATTAATAGAATAATCTAAATATAGGTATTTATGCAATACAATGGAAGACTGCACATTAAATTTATTAAAAAATTAACTAAATGTTTCAGCAGAAATAAAAATTCTGCCACCAGTTAAAATTTTCAGTTTTTATTAATAAGTGCAGAGAACCGAAATGCTGTATAAATAAGGCCTTTGTTTTTTATTATATTGTAAAGAATGAAAATTGTTGAATAGTTTAATTACCCATTATCCCTTTGTGCTCTGAAAAAACTCATCTCTTTTCTTAATCAAAAACTGTTGGTTAAATAAGAAGGAGAATACACATTAGTTTATAACAAGTAAAGCAATATAGATTATGTAGAACAGAATTTTAGTGTCTTACTTCACCAAAACTAATGATACTTCATAATAACAGAAAAATATTATATATGACCTTGAAATACTGATAAAAATCTGTCAATTCTGCATGTTTGTGTTGTAAAGATTTTGTGATTTTCGTGAAAAGAAATATTTATTCTTGTTGAAATTTGTTGACTGTGTGATGAAGTGAACTTCTGTTAGTATTGTGTATGCATATTGCATACTATACATACATGTATGTCTTCTATACCTTGAATGTACAAATGATAAAATGTGATGCTTTTATGTTAAAAACGTGATGACCCAATCACTGGATTTTTAAATTACACACATCATAATAGCTTCAGCAATGACAACATATTTAGCATCTTGCAGAATGTTAGAAAAACAAAGAATCCATAAATATTTTTGAAATAAGATTTTAAGTTTTTACCCTGCTTCTCTAATAACAAACTTTAGATTAAAACTAACAGACCTTTTTCAATGTTCAAACAATATGTGTGATATTAAATACAACAATCAACATGTGTAATATTAATCAGAACATTAAATAAATTATGAGTTTAATGTTTCTTTATCTTTCGTACAGTCATTGTTACACTCTTATTTGTTTTATCATAATTTAAAAGCTGTAATACATAACATATTTAATTTAAGTGGTAAGTTTTCCTGTTACATGAACTGAATCCTTTCAGAATACGCAAATAGCAGAAATTCTGTACTTTAAATTCACGCCATTGTGACCTAAAAAATTATAAATTATTAAGAAAATAATTTGTGATAATATACTACCACTGCATGTAAATGAACAATGCTGGTTGTATATAACTAACAAAAGTCTTGTTCACTAAATTTCATAACAAAACATCATGGGTTTGGAAGTGTGATAGGCTGAAAGTTCCTCCACAGCCATATTAACATTATGGTGCACCTTTTTGTGACACTTCCATCATTCTCATGAATTGTATATGATGCCAATTTTGAAGTGATAGTTATTAGATAAGCTAAAGAAATTAATACTAGTGGAAAATTAAAGGGCATACAACATAATTTAGGTCAAAGATGGCTGTCTTCTGGGTTGTAGCACTGTGCAGTCTGGTAGAAGTTTAAAAGTGTTTCAGAGGTCCTTGCTGCTTCCATCACCAGATACTCATCGTCCTGATGATGAAGGCAGCAAGGACCTTTGAAATGTTGGTAAATGTCTACCAGACTACATGGTGCTAAAACCTAGAAGACAGACATCTGCATACTAACCACTGTGAAAACCTCAAATCCTACTTATAATTCAGGTCAAAACAGACATGGAAGAAGGACAAAGAACAATTACTACCCAATAAGTTCCATCAGAAAAGAAATTATGTGAATCCAAAATGGGCCACTATAGAGGTGTGGAAGAAGAGTTCAGCATATGAAGGAGAATTGTATCTAGAATTTTATCCAAATAAACAATAATTATTTTTCTCCAAAATTAGCTACTGGGAAACAGGACTGTCTTATAGGAAGGGCAATCTATTGTCCACTAAACATGGTATCTTAAAGAACACATGTCTGTAACCCATCTCACATGGTAGTAGCTTCAAGCCCCATCTAGAACACAGATGTCTGTTTTTTTCATTACTACTCTTCATGATTCATCCACAAATTTCAGATTCTATCATGGGATCATCCCTCAGCAGATAGCATACTTCTGTATAAAGAATCTTTGGAAATGATTTGTAGGTCTGGGCATTCACAGGAAAGCGAGGGGGACAGAACTATATTTATTTATTTATTTAGTGTTCTGTCTGACGACAGGTCCATATGAACAGGATCCTTCCATCCTTTTCTTGGACTGGGACCTGTTCATATACGTTCTTGGCAGATGATCCAGAACTGCCTTTTTATTAATATTAAAATCCTAATAATCAAGGTAAATCAAGTTTCAAATGACAAATAACAGCTGGAGAATGAAATCACCAAAGGATGCCACAATAAAGCCTTAAATAAGCCAAAACTACAACACCGTGCCTCTCCACTCAAATCATCCTGTCATTACCCATGTAACAGTGTATAATCTGCCACATGATAAGGTGTTCATAAAAAAATGGAACAAAGACCTGCATGACATTTATGTAAATGTGTTAACAGAATATTATCATCCTGAAAGTATTGAAGTGTGTAATCAATACCAATTTACTAGGTGAAGAGGGATACCATTTAACCCAAGTTACATCTTTTTCTCCTCTGATGGACTGTATGTTGGTCATGATATGGATTAGGATCAAAATATGATTGTGGTCAATAATCGGAATATAAGGAATCAAGCTTAATACCTTTCTTATGGGTTGTGTAATTTTTTAAGTTTTGATCTATGTGATCACCATCCTATCATCCAATACTATACACTCTGAACCATCATTAAATGGACCACAAAATTACAGAAAACATATACAGCTAAAATCAGAAGAAATTAAATTCTTCAAATGTATAATATGACCAAAACAGCTAATTCACTGGACCCAAATTTGGAAGTAATGCAGATAAAGGCAAAAACAAAAGCAGCTAAAAGGAATTTATAAAATGAATGATTAACAATGCAGTAAGAGAACAGGATGACTATGAAAGTAATAAAACCCCCAAAAAAGATGAAAAAATTAGATTGCAAGTCACACCTATGTTTTCTTCATTATAATAATGGTGCATGCATTGCTGTTCATTTAACTTCCCACATAATCTAGAATGTTCCTTGAGTACTTTACATATTTTCAGACCATCCAGAAATTCCCTTTGAACTATCATCACCAGTTCCACATAAGCCTCTCATTGGTCCCTATCCTGAGACACTTTAACTCAACTAAAATCTCACAATCTACTACTATAAGATGTAGTTTAATATTATCCTCCCATCTTTGCTGTATCTCCAAAGTGGTCTCACTCTTTGAAGTTTTCTAACCACAACTGTATATGGAGTTTGTTTCCCCACGCATGACACTTGTACTGCCCACCTCATACACATCATTCTAATTGTCTCATAAAATTTAGACGAAGATTACAAATTACGAATCTCATCATATAATTATCTCAACTCCTCTGTTACTTCAACTGTCATAGTGTAAATACTTTCCTCTATAAAACTCTATTAATGATAAATGTGTCACCGTTTCTCTGCTTCCCTTCTCTTATTATGTTCCACAATTTTTCATTGCCTAATTAATTTATATTTAGTCCAATCCTTCTTTAATGTTACCGAACGTTGTTCCATCCATAAAGTTTTTTACAAATATGTAGTATACCACGTCAAACTCAACACCACTAACTCAGATCATTCCATTCATTCATTTATTCATCATTCAGTGACCGAGAATTAATTTTAAGCAACAGCTGTACTACACTGCCCTCTAGTGGCAGTTTATAACTCAGGTTATTGAACTTGGCTTACCTGTGTTCAGGATATTTTGAGACTGTGATGTTGGCACCCTTTTTTCCTGTGTTTCTTAACAAGTTTGATGTCTGTTCTTTCTATGGTGGCTAATTCAGGGCTGAAAGCTAGATACAAATACATAAATCAGACAACAACCAACTAACTGACAAATCAGGTAAATGCATGTATGTACTGCCAATACTGAGGGACCCAGTCAAGCCTGGCTGATTATTGGATCTCTGAAGAGGGGCGGAGACCTTACTTCCTATGCAGTGGGATTACACATGTAAATAAATGCAAGCAATAGTGGTTATGCTTTCTTGTGTAATTATTTCTGTGATAATACTGTAGTTGTCTGTAGATTACTGTTATAATTATGTAATTTATATTTTTATTAGAAACAAGTATTGTGTTTGTGTTAAGACATGTTCCACATCCTCAGCTTGGGCCCATGAAGGATCTACAGAATGTATATAAAATTATATTCTATATAATTCAGGAAAACCTTCATGAATCTCACAGAAATATTTTTGACTTGTAAATATTTAATGAGATAAAGAAAGTACCCTAGCATCTTTGGCCCTAGCTACATGTTTCAAAAGTTATCACTATTCAGTTGGAAATACTGTATTGCCTCAATTTTAAGATGTGATTGATTTCATGAAAAAACTGGAGGCTCAGTTTACATAGGGAAAAAATGTATTTCTAATATCACTGCTGGGACAAGAAAGATGCACGAGGTTTGTGACAGCTGCCAGAATGTAACACAGTTCCTACAGCAAAGGTTCTGAATGTCTTACTGGTGCGTCACGGTATGAAATTTATGTCTTGCAAAAATCGCTTGGGAGCCAATGTGACAGATTCAGTTAACACCACTATTTAAATTAGGACATATTGAACCAAACACCAAAGAAGGCTTGCAATAATTTTCACAGTGAATAAGAGCTTTTACTAAGTTCCCAACTTCTTGTTCCTTTGTAATGACAAAGCATGACAATATTTACATGTACCTGCAGAGATTATCTAACATTAAATGGTAAATTGCAGAATTATTTTTAGCAAAGCACTGAGAAGGATAAAGGAGTAAATAAAAAAATGTATGATATTCACTAATTATGATCCATATTATTAAACAACTGTATTACAGGTTATGTTTTTTAATATATCCTTTTAAAACTAGAAGCCACATTCTGGAATCCATGATGATCCAGTGAATAGAGTTCTGCACTGTAATACAGCACAAAGTACAATAAACTGGCATAGACTCCATTTCTAATCTTTACAATCTCATAAGAATGTAGTACCTTTCCTCATGTATTTTAGAGAAGTTCAGTTAGTCATTTTCCACACTAACACTCAAACTCTGAGAAGAACAAAATTAAAGAACACAACACATGTTTAATAATTTATTAATAATGCTGCCTACTTACCTTCTACTTTTCCATCAAAAGTGCCATAATAATCCCCAGGACAAGAATGTTCCTTGATAGTTCCAGGCGCTACAAATGGTGCTTTGAACATGTTCTTCATGGCAGATTCCATTCTGAAAAACATCAGAACACTATAAAATAAAACTGTCTTGCTTTATAATCTTACTCCTCCTGCCTCCATCATCACCCTGATGATGGAGGCACAGCAAGGGCCTCTGAAATGTTGGTAACTTCTACTAGACTGCATGGCATTACAACCCAGAAGACAGCGATCTACAGAATCACCGCTGTAAAAACCTAAAATCCTAATTGAATGCTTGGTTAGAAAATATTATTATTAGCTGTTTGTACACAATAACACTGATTTACTTACCTAGGTATCTCTGTTTTTAATGGGTGACACATTTTTTGACTCATGCAGTCTATCATCAGACAACTGTCTATGCATCTATATTATGCTTTAGCAGTGATATAAGAATATAAAACAAAGCCTAACAAATTCTAAGGCACAAATTGCTCACATTGTTTAAACTGTAAATAGTAAGAGAAATGGTGTATTATGTATGTGAAATTGGTCACATTATACCATGCTAACAACTAACTAACAATTGCTAAGGTTAAAAATTATTTGCAAAAATCATTCTTAAAAAGAATTACTATCTGAAAACATCAACAGCAAAATCTAAAGTGATGGCACTTTTACGGCCACAATCTATTAGCTTAAAGATAATATTAGGCAATAATATACATAACAACTTTCAATTTCCTGTTTCTTTGGATGCCAAGTATAATTTACAGCTGAAGAAGACAAAGTCTCAAAATTTAAAAATATGTGCTTAAATGAAACCTGTAGCAAAATTCGAGTAGGTAAATATGTATCTGAGACATTCCTCATCAAGAACGGTCTAAAACAAGGAGATGCTTTGTCTCCCTTGCTCTTTAACTTTGCGCTAGAATACGCCATCAGGAAGGTCCAAGGTAGGCAGGAGGGTTTGCAATTGAATGGGACACATCAGCTATTGGCATATGCTGATGATATTAATTTATTGGGGGACGATATAAATACAATAAAGAGGAACGCAGAAGGTTTACTAGAGGCTGGTAGACAAGTGGGGCTGGAAGTAAATTCAGAAAAAACTAAGTACATGTTAGTATCTCGTCATCAGAAGACAGGCGGGCAAAATTATCTTAGGGTAGCTAATAAATCCTTTGAAAGGGTTACAAAGTCCAAATATTTGGGAACAACAATAACAAATCAAAATGATACTTGTGAGGAAGTTAGGAGGAGACTAAATTCCGGAAATGCTTGCTACTTCTCAGTCCAAAATATTTTGTCTTCCCGTCTGATTTCTAAGAACCTGAAAATTAAAGTATACAAAACAATAATCTTGCCTGTTGTTTTGTATGGGTGCGAAACATGGTCTCTCACTCAGAGGGAGGAACACAGATTGCAGGTGTTTGAGAATCGGGTGTTGAGGAGGATATTTGGGCCTAAGAGGGAAGACGATGGGGCGTGGAGAAAACTGCACAATGACGAGCTTAAAAATCTGTACTGCTCCCCCAGTATTGTGAGGGTGATTAAGTCGAGAAGAGTGAGATGGGCGGGACATGTAGCGCGCATGGATGGGACAAGAGGTGTGCACCGGGTACTGGTTGGGAAACCTGAAGGGAAGAGACCGCTGGGGAGACCTAGACGTAGATGGGAGGATAATCTCAGGCGGGATCTATGGGAGATAGGAGTTGAAGGAAACTGGATTTTGTTGGCCCAGGACAGGGTCCGGTGGAGGGCTTTGGTTAATTCGGTGATGAACCTTCGGGTTCGGTAAGCCATCTAGTTAGTTAGTTAGTTATGTGAGGAACAATTGGAAAGACATTAAAAGAGAGAACTAGAAAGGAGTCAAATAAAACTGTACAAAATTATCCCAATGTCAACATTAATAAATAGCAACAATGCATGGGCAATGACAAAAACAGACTGAACTCAGATACAAATAGCTAAGATGACGTTTTTTTGATCTGTCATAGGTTGTTCTCTCTTTGATAACAAGAGAAGTGGTGATATAAGGAAAAAATAGTGATTTGTTTACTAAAAGACAAGATTCAACAATCTACGAATCACATACAGATGGATTAATACCGTCCTAGAGAAACATCAATTGGCAGACCAAGGAAGAGATGATAAGAACAAATTTCTGGAGGTGGAACGAGTTTAAGCATAATACTTGAAAGTAGATGAGGAAAAAGACAAACAAATTTTGTAAAATTGGTTGCAGAGATACCTGATATTATTCAGTAATATTATTATTACCTTCAAATAATGTGCTAAGTTCCTAATCACAGTTAGGGTGTTTTAAAACCCAACAAAACTTGGTCAAATACTTACAAAATTTCCTTACTAAAAGCACGTTTCAAATTGGCTTAGATACCCTGCCATATGAGGTTTACCGAATATGATCAGTAGGCAATCTACAGTACCGAAAACCCCACGTATAACCCCATTTACTCCACGTAGGTGACGTGCGAAAATGAATGAAGACGTGTTTCATACAGTGTCGCCGGCGATCTTCCAATTATATGTACACAACAATATGCCAATTCATAAAATCAAAATTTCTCTCACACATGTCCAAGGTCAAACGTGGTTCAGATTAAATTTGTGAACCATATTGTGCATTACGGTCTGTGCTATATTTGCAGTTATTTTGTTACAAGTGTTCAGCAATACAAATTACAATGGTAACCTATCATATTTTATATCTGCTTCACACATTCAAGTGAACTGGTTTTCGTTGTTTATAATTTTTTTTCTTCCGTACAGGTTCTGCTGTATAGGACGGGTATAACCTCATTCGTAAGGCGACCGAAAGCTGTGAAAGTGATTCTTGCATTACGAAGGTCAATGTCTTCGAACGAAGAAAATGATGTAATCCTCCAAACAGTAAATAATAAAGGAATAATCACATTAAATAGGCCAAAGGCATTGAATTCTCTCAATTTGTCGATGATTAGAAAAATTTATCCCGCTATGAAAAAATGGGAACATGAGATGAATATGGTAATAATAAAAGGTGCAGGAGAGAAAGCCTTCTGTGCAGGTGGCGATGTTAGAACTCTAGCAGAAGCAGGGTTGAAGGGAGACCATACTGGAAAAATATTTTTCAGAGAAGAATACACTCTGAATGCTCTAATTGGTACATACAGCATTCCATATGTGGCTCTGATAGACAAAATCACAATGGGTGGAGGGGTTGGGTTGTCTGTGCATGGACCATTTCGAGTGGCCACAGAGCGGACTCTGTTTGCCATGCCAGAAACTACAATTGGTCTCTTTGCTGATGTTGGAGGGAGTCACATCCTACCTCGTCTAGGAGGAAAATTAGGTTTATATCTTGCACTCACTGGACACAGGCTGAAAGGAATTGACTGTCTGAAAGCTGGAATTGCAACACATTTTTGTGAAAGTTCAAAACTTCCAGAATTAGAGGAGGAACTCATCAACTGTAAAAATCCAGAAACTGCTGTCAAAGAGATTCTTGACAGATCTACAGAAGTGAGTAAAGTTGAAAGTCATGAGTTCAGCCTTGCACCACATCTTAAACAGATAGAGAACTGCTTCTCTGCTCCAACAGTGGAAGAGATTCTGGTGAGGTTAAAGACAGATGGTTCAGAGTGGGCTCTCAACACATTGGAAATTCTTAGCAAAGTTTCACCAACCTCATGTAAGGTAATAAAAAAGGAGTTGGAGGAGGGAGCCACCAAGTCGCTGCAAGAATGCCTCATTATGGAGTATCGTCTTGGTTCACACTTCTGCGACAGACTAGAATTCTATGAAGGTAATATACAGCCCATTTACAAGGCTAGACATTTAAGAATGCAATTAGTTTGACAGAATACCCTGAAATGTTATTCCAATACTTCAGAGCAAACTCTGCTAAGCTACTCATTATATGTAGCTGGGCTATATTTGACTGATCATATAAGCTGCTGTTGGTAGAAGATGAACAGTAGATTGAGAAATCCACTACACCTTTCTTATCGTCTCCATTTATTAAAATAAACTTCAAAATACAGGTGTGTTTTGTCACATTTTCTCTATATTATTAATTTGTAATGTTCACTGAGTGTATGAATGACTAATGAGCCACAATTTCAACATGATAAGAATCCTAATTCATGACCTTCAAATTGTCACAACTAATCATGTTCACTTCCTGTGACCTATAAAATAAATGTTACCATAGCATTTACCTTCCTTACAGGACTGTACTTGGAAACAAGACTGTATGCATATATCACACTATAACTAAATCATCACAGTTTTCAGTCACCCACATACATAGAGTTTGTTTGATAGTTATTATGTTGATGTTAAAGTACAGACTGTGATTATAATAAATTCTTCTTGGGCTACCTACCAGCCATATAAGCTGGCTTAATGAAGAATACACCAACATTTCGAGAACCATCTTCATTCTCGTCCTAAGGGTACCCTGCAGACGAGAATGAAGATGGTTCTCGAAATGTTGGTGTTTTCTTCATTAAGCCAGCTTACATGGCTGGTAGGTAGCCCGAAGAATTTATTATACGTAGTCACTGTGAAAGCTTCCGAACATACATTACAAACTGTGATATTTGACTTGTGAATCATGTAATTGCTTTAGTATTAATTAATGCAGTATGAGGGCTAGCAAATATGCATTGATTTTAATGCTGCCCATAAAAGAATTGTATTTCTGGAATTTTCTTGGTATATCACCTCCTTGTTATACTAATTTGTCAATCTACAGGCTCCTTGGTTACTGTCTGCTACAATGTATCTGGTTACTCATTTTCTGTTGGGTTTAATGATGCTAATTATGTATGTCTGCATGCAGCCATTATCAAAAATTCCAACTCCAGGATCACTGGACTATTCAGTTAAATAAAGCAGCACCATTCATATTACAGCCTTTTGGAAATTTGTCTTAGACAACATGGCATACAAAAGATATGCCATTGTAAATATCCTCATGAGATTAACCTCAATCATTCTTGCATCACGTCAAATACACATTTTAGCTTCACATGTGTTGCAGTAGCATACTACTAAACTGTTAAACTAAGTCTGGCCGATAGGCCCGTAATATAGGAAAAGGCAATTTCATTTGCCTTCTCCTGCACAATAAACGTTAAACAAATTAGTTTGGAAGCACTGTTAAAGATCCAGACCACAGCTATGTGGAAATATATGAATATATTAGTTTTCATGCCAAGGTTAAGAATGTGTGGAGGTGTATTTCGATTTCCTCATTTTTTTGTAGCATGGTGCATAATTTAGCAGTGGGAAAACTGTACTTTTTTATTAATCTATCTCCTGTTTCTAGGTGTTCGGGCTTTGTTAATAGACAAGGATCAGAAGCCTAAATGGAACCCACCAACACTGAAAGAAGTTTCACAAGACATTGTGGATTATCATTTTGAACCTCTGACACCAGAAGAAGAACTAAAGGTGTAGTTCACACAGGATGCAGCAGATGGCAGGATATTACTGTGGTATAAGTGAGGCTCTACTTTAAAATGTTGAATATTTCTTTATCACCAAGCTGTGGTTGATTTACAATAAAATAAATGAGAAAGTATTACAAATTACTTTCAGTTTTGTAATTACTAATAAACTGAATTCCATGGTACAGGGTCTTTCTTAGGCAGTTCATGGTTATTCACTGAGCTGGTCAACAAATTCATGATTGTGATTGCAAAAACCCATCAAGCCTTATTAATATGTATGAAACGAGTGCTACGATGTGGCAGATATAAACACTGCAAGTAAGGCAAAACTACAGGACAAAATTTTAATATTCTCTTTAATGACTCTCTGCCATGAGAAATCTTGGCCATGTGAGGTCCGTTTTGATTAACCCTGTACCTGGATCTCTGTTCCTCAAAAATTACAAACACATTTAATCAGCTGCTGCTTTTTTCTTTTCTTCTCTATCTTTCTCCCCCCCCCCCATTTTGGAAGGCAACAGAATGAAAGTGGGTGATAAGTGAAATGAGGAATCTGATCTGATGAGTAAAGTATTTAAATTAATCATTACAACTTTTAAAAAGTAAGTGAAGAACATGATGTTATAGGATGGGGTTAATATATCTAATGACTTATGAAAACATAAATTTGTTTTTCTCTGGTGCAAGGAATACTACAGCTGTTCTTGTTATGATACTCATATAAAAATATACGTATTTGCTCATTGTAATCATGTATTACCTAGAATGTATATGGAGAATATTTAGAAAATTGTGATGTATGGTAACTCAGCTTAATTTGAAAGAAGGCACCTGTATTTGACAATGTACATTTGTGCCATATTTTTGTATACTGTTTAAATAAATGTTACATCATTTATGACCAACCAGTTCAATGCAGTTTGAAATACAACCATCTTTCTTTTCAGTGTAATTTTCTATTCAGAATCCTAGTACTGAAAGTGATGTCTGCACTGTGGAGGCAGTCATACCCTATAGTCAGGGCTCTGGAAATATAACTTAAATCTACTAACCAATCAATAAAAGCCATTCATCCAACTTTAAAGTATCCTTCGTACAAGGACTGTTATGATAGATTTAAAACTCAAACATAACATTTTAAATATTAAGATGACAGACCAAAGTACATCTTTGTTGTAAGACTTGAGGTTCTCACAGCGGTGAGTATGAAGATTTCCGCCTTGAGGTCTTGAGGTTCTCACCGCTGTGAGAACCTCAAGTCTTACATAGTAAACCTCTATGGGGAGGATACTCATCGCTTCATCCAGAGATTCGAGGCTCTTCGGATCAAGAAAGCCAAACGTCTCTACACCCTATTGGCATATTCATAGCCCTGATGACGGAGGCAGTATGACCTCTGAAACGTTGGTTAACATCGACCAGACTACACAGCGCAACAACCCAGAAGACGGAAATCTTCATACATCTTTGTTTCCTACACCTTACACACAATAATAAATCATTCATTAAATTTCTTAATGACAGGCTAAAATTGTATTCACTATCAAACTCCATCAACTCAGTCCAGGCCCTGGCCCCCTTTAATGTACAACTTAGAATTGCTGTGTCATGTTAAAGATGTTTTATATATCAAAATGTTCCACATTATATTCACTGAAAGTGTTAAATGAAGTCTCAGTTCATTTACCCTTAAACATAGAAACAGAGTGGATATAAGTAGGATTTGAGGTTCTCATGGCATGAGTCTGAAGATAACTCTTGATTGTAGCGCTGTGTAGTCTGGTAGAAGTTTGCCTAAGGTTATATTTGTGCTCCTTAATGCATACTTTCAGAGGTCTACTTGTTTCGCCAATATACCATCTGCCACAATCATAAGGGATACTGTACACACACTGCCTTGTCTGTTTCTCATCTCTGTCAGGTCTAGCTGTCATCAATATTCCATGGAGTGTATGTGTAGTTTTAAAGATGGCCCTGATATTATAGCAGTTCCTAATTCTTCGAAATTTCTTGGATATTCCTCTGACATAGGGGATAACTACTGTGCCCTGAAGTATTCTGTCTGAAGAAGGCTGATGTTTCTCTTAGACTTGATAATAGACTCGATGAAATGCTGCGGATATCCATTGAGACCAAGGTCTCGTTTTATAGTCTTAATTTATCTATTGAATATTTTTTTTACATATGACTTTAGGTCTGTTAACTAGACTATAAACAACTCCTCTTTTTACACGATGGGGGTGGATGGATTTAAAATTTAGATATCATCCTGTATGTGTAGGTTTTCTGTATACCCCTGTGAATAAATTTGAGCCCTTCTTTGTGACCAGAACATCCAAAAATGGGAGAGTATCATTGTTTTCCACTTCCATGGTAAATTGTATGGTGGGTCTGACAGTGCTGAGGTAGTGGAGGAACTACATTCACATGAAACCTAACTTAACATTTGTTCTTTGCCTTCAGCATGTATGTTCAGAGACCATGGGCTGAAATGGAACAGTGGAAGGGTCAGTAATTTTAGTCATTTTTACCAGTTAATGTAACCATATGAATAACAGTTATGTCTGCCAAACCTAGTAACATAAACCAAAGTTTCTGAAAATGCAGGAATGGAGATGTAGCACAGGGTCTGATATTGCCATGAAGAAGCAGCATGACACTAGTCTTTGTTGCGGGCATGCAAATACTTGCTGAATTCAGTTTCCCCACCTTATTTAACATCAAGCGATGCTCACATCAATGGTTGTCATAACCATTCTTAAAAGTGATTCATCACTTTCTCTCCACTTTTGCACTCGCATTGAGAAACCATTTGACAGCATTATGTCATGTCTTGTAAGTGAAAATGAGAAGGATACTTAGTTGTATGCCAAAACCTATGCAACTACTTATGTCACTAAGGTGACAAGATAAAAATTATGACATTTTTTTTCATACTGGCCTACTGCAATATAATCTACAACTTGCTGTCTGGTTGCTTCACATATATACCACTTTCTTCCCTTATACTATTGAGTAATCAAAATCCTTGTGATACCCTTACAGTTCATCCACCAGTTGGTGGTTGTTTCACAACATAAACATTGTACTGAACATAGTTTAATGTCATTCTATCATGGTTTGTGGATAGACTGAACTAGTAAGCATTTGATGGCTTGAAAAAGGAATTTAGGTTGTCTAAAAGAGTGATACCATCATCCTACAGGCCTCAAACGCATGGCTATTAATGAAAACATACATGAGAACATCTACATAACTTCTCACACATGAGTAAACCACAGGAAAAACAAATATCATGGTTTCAGGTTTTTAGCAATAAATGAATGAAAATGGGTGGGTGATTGACAACCATAGCACCATCACTGGCAACAAACTATAATTTTTTTATTTATAAGTGGTTTATTTAATGATACTGTCAGCAGCTCAGACTATATAGTGGCAATTAATTAAAAAATAATTGGAGAGGGTCAGTGCCTACTATTCAAGGATTTGGCCCGATGATGGAGGAATTCCACACGTGGAATGGCACAACCCAGAAGACAGCCATCTTCAAGAAAAACATGGGAAGAAACTGAGGAGGAGCTGTGGAAAGACAGAGACAGATGAAGACACTTGGTTGTCAGATAACGCAAATACAGTGAAAATGTATTAGGAAGAGAATAAAAAATTACATGATGCTTACTCTTCATCCCAGGTACAAAAAATGTCTGTGTGCCATGATTAGTAACAAATACAGTAAATAACCTGCAACTACATCTTGGGAACAATTTTCCCCTATAATCAGACATAAATGCCATACATAAAAGATTGAAGCTGTACATAATGATATATTTGCTATGAACAAAATCTACAAAACACAGGATGAAATTTCAGGTGAACTTTTAAGAGAGATACAAATGTTACAAAACTTGGAAACTGTACCCAATTTACTCTGTAGTATAATCTTACTTGTGCAGCTGATCAAAATATTCACTGTCATTATGATTTACAACAAGTTGAATCATACTATTTTCCAAACATCAGAAGTTTAACTTTCTTTCAGAAATCCTTGCAGTCACTTATAACAACAAAATGTAAAGTATTACATGTTCAACTACAAAAGTCTGTATTAGTTCTCTTCCAAGCCAATGAAGAAATTCACTCTGCCAGTTGGCTACGAGGCCCCCGTGCACCATCTCCTATAATTTAATGCAGCTCATGAGTTGGTGCTCTGGACTCATGCACAGATGGTCACATGATCAAATGCTCTTCTTAACACCTGAAACTGTAAATATGGCAGAAATGTTATTACTTTTTAAGGGACAGAATTTATTTTATTCATGCTCTGTCAAATTTTTCAAATTTAACCTCAAAGTTTTTCCATCATGTCTGTAACTGTTGATTTACAAACAGTACTTCATATGATTTGTATGTGCATTTATAATCTATCTCTGTACAAAATGTAATTTCCCCAGGTACAATGGTTCATTAGTTAACACAGTCAAATTTAAAGCTGAAGACAATGTTTGCAAACTGTCATGTTGTTGCTTTACATTCTAAGGTGTATTTCGTTCACATAATTCAGCAAAGGAACCATTTCTTACCTGGCTATATTGTTTTACTCCACACATTAGTAAAAGCGTTGGGAGTGGACCCCGGTTTTGCAGATGAACAAGACTAGACTTCTTTAAAAGATGACATACAGGAAACGTTTTAGAATTACGCAGGTTACCAATACTGAAATTTTGAACGAATGTGTAAAATGCAAGGCTATATTAGGATGACAAATTACCAAAGAAATATACCAAATTTAAACAATACTAAAAAATGCAAATTCGCTGTGCTTAAAGGTGGAACGTTTTCATAAACTGGGAATACTGAGGAAATTTTTAAGAAAACGGCTCTGACCAGGGGAAGTGGGCAAGGAATTACAGAAGTTCATCAGGAACAAGGAGAGTAACATTTTTTCGTAACATATAACAAAATGGAAAGACAGGTTATATTGCGAGTGCAGTTTATAGAAGTACGAAATATAACTAACCATATTTGTTTGATCCATCTTTACTATCGAGGAAACGTGTACGAGAATTTGTTTACTTCAACTTCCATGTACTACAGTATTCTGTAGCTTCTTTAATCGTTTGCAATTTAAATGTTGTAAGAAATAATGCCACTGAAGATTTTGGCTTGTGAAACAGTATTTCCCACGTAAAATAAATTGTGATAAAGCAGTTTTAAAAGCAGAGTTGGGTGGACCTCCAGTAGGATAGAATTGATTATGAATTAAGGACAACAGGAATGCAATTAATGGGACAGGGGAAAGAATTGATAAAATAAATTCCGCTAAAATGAGAACCATTCAGACTGTGAAAAAAAGGAGTTAACAGGAATTCAAGTTGATGAGAAGATGAACTATGTTATGCTTCTTCTGAAGTGTAAATAACGTCAACTTTTAAAAAAAGACGAAGAAAGAACAATTTTCTAGGAAATGATACAAGACAGTCCCCAAATTCCACAAAGTAATATTGATATAAATAAAGTGCAAAGCTGCCCTCATTCTTAACTAATCTTCATCAATTGTGTCATAGCTTACATTCTGCCCAGCTTGCCATGAATTGCAATAAAACACTGCTAAATCATAAATCCCAGATTTTAAGCCTGTCCAGCAGCCCTGTTGTACAGAGTTTAAACCCCTCTTCCAGAACGACATACAAGAGTCTTAAAACGTTGCATACCGTGCAGCATATTGATATATAGAATCATGCATACAAATGAATCTGTTACACACAAAATGTTATTTAATGTGTAAACAATTTCGTTGGCATGCTTGATTTTATATATGACATACAAGAGGTTATTCACCACACAACGATGTATGGGGGATGGAGGTACAGCACCACACAATTCTAAATTTGGAACTAGGTAGATGAGTGATCAGCTTTATGCTCTGGCCAGTTGGGAAAGAGCATAGATACTGATCCATTCCATAAAGGGCTAAACGAACTCCAGGGTTAGCATGGATGTGATGACAAAAGGAAAATTCTCTGCCTCTGCCAGAAGTCAAACCACGGTCTTTAGAGTAGTATGAATGTCAGACTGTTACCACAACTGTAAACTGATCTAGGAATTCTGAATATATTGTTAAAGGATTTGGTTCTTATTTCACTTTTAAAAACTGTCTTTAAGTTAATACCACATTATAGGCTAGGTGTTTAAATTTTAAGCAAGATGAAGTTGCATGTCACTTCCATGGGTTCAGGCAATTCTGAAAGGTTAATCTGCGGTCATTTCAGCATATGAAACCACTATTCCCAGCCATGACTTTGAGATATTACCACACTACGTACTGATAAGCTACTATTTATCTTAACTAGCAAGCTTAAATCATGCTTGTAATGGTGTACTCTTTGGGGTACACTGATGTTTGAATGAGAACCAAGGCCGCTGTTACGTGATGATTTGTCCCATCATTTTGTTGAACTACATGTTTAGTAATGACAGGTAATTCATGCACTCATGCTGCAACCAGGATAATGGAAATGCGAGTGACCAGGTCTGGTTCCCCATGGGGCAAACCTCTTAGAGCAGTTGCCAGGGACTAGGCTCCAACAAAGCAAGCATGCTGGGGAAGGACCTGGATGTTAAAGCCACACTGTAGTTTTGATATCATACATCAATTCTCATTGCAGCTTCCTGGTTACAACACAAAATGCACTGACCTGAAACAAAATGTACTGTATCAGTAAAATCTATCTCAATGAATAAATAGTCATATTCCCTTTTTACTATAAATTTATAAATCTCCTGTTTGGAGTACTCTAGTTATTCCCCACTGAATATCTGGTTACTACTTCAAGTCATTCTCACATTTGGAAGGTATTTGGAGATAGCTTTTCTCACTTTATTGTTTCCTGTTTCCAGGAGAATTCCAGTATATTACGAAATTTAAAATAGGCAACAGCAATTTTTATGTATCTTTCTATGCAAAATGTAAAATTCAGGCTGCCACATCTTATTTGGCACTACATAAGCATTACCTGCACTTGATGATTTATAAAACAGACCTACATCCACTTCTCACTTGTTTACAAGCAATTCATGCACTGCGCAGACAAGACGCTTCACAATTTTCTGGGCTGTCTGTGTTACTGACTTTCTGTTAGTGGTTGTAGGATCACAAGTTATAACATCTGGTCTTTAACAGTTCAGCTGTGAAAAACTTCCTTCTAGGTGCTGCTTCATCAATCTCAGAAAAATAAAAGATTTAGGGTGTATATTCCTTCATAATTATATATAATTGGGATGTGATGTGTTAAGTTGCTCCACATATCACCATACAGCCTCATTAAGTATGTAATTGTTATAAAAATACACAATTAAAAAACTATTTCAATTCACAAATTAGCACAAACAGTATTGCAGCATTGTGTACAAGTGTGTGAAAACAACAAGGCAATTAATTGCATAACTAGGTCTACACCATTCGTGGCAGTTTTTCTCTCTGCTGTGTAGAGACATATTGTTCTTTGCAATTTTTTAAACCTCTGATTTGTACCTCTTTGAAAATGTGGCTGTAGACAAGATGTTTGTTTCCAGCATAACCTGAAATGAGCATTAGGAGAACATGAGAAATATACCTTCCATGATTGATTGTTTTATAAAACAAGTCACTTCAACAGCTTAACTACATTTCACCACTGCTGGAAAGCTTATATTCATTTGTGTGTAATTAAACTTTGCAGAGTAATGTTCCTTACCTGAATGTCATCATCTGAGTGTTTGGAACTGCTCCTACAGTGCTGTTCATCAATTTTGCAGCCAACCTATGACAGTGTTCTCTGCAACATGGTTCAGTGTTAGTCACATTATGCAACAGCACATTCCCTGTTTCTCACAATCAAGTACCATCTATTGATCCTCCACAGTTTTAGAGTGCTGCTTTCCATTTATAACAATATCAAATCCCACATTCACCACACTTCAAGATGGGGGGCATTAATACTGTTACAGTTTAGGAATAATTCTGTTTTGGAAATACCTAATATTTTGAGGTCTTGACACTGTTGGCACCAATGTCACACACAATGCCAACAGCTATACAATTCCAACTTTATGCAAGGCACAAGAACCTTCTTCACAATTATGTTAGCATCTCAGCCTTCTATAAACTTTAGGAGGGGAAAGGTATAGAACTTCAAACCATATTTCAATACGGACAGAGCCGACACATTTTCTTTGTATGTCCTATCCTTAGGCATTCTCCACATTGAAAGAAGACGAAAAAGACCCGATCATATGTTTACTGTGCAACTGACATATCTCCTCCAGCTTCTCAGGTTTGTTCTTCTTTCTCAGTTTACAAAGTGCATTGTCTCTCCTCATACTTCATTTATGAAGTTTCCTTTTCCTTGTGTTGATTTATTACATTTTCATCATGCTCTAACATGAGTGAAAAACACTTCATGGGTCATCCATGTCATATTCTTCCCAGGAACCAGGCAACCCCCATGATGTGAGGTTGTTGGAGCAAACAGTTGCAACAATGTTAACTGAAATAACTGCTAAAACACTGTTGCAACAATTTAATTGGGTCACTGTTGACTCACACTGTTGCAAAAATAACCTTGGATCACATTATTACAACAATGACTCTGGACACCATTGCTGCCCTTGGCTACCTTGCGTACATCAGTGCCCATGATGTGGTGTGAAGTACGCCTTTGGAAATTGTGTGTTCTCCAAAGAATACACATTTCCATTCTTGTTATAGAACAATTTCCTCTATATCTTGGGAAGGAATTTGAAGGTTGATGCATCTGAGTTCTCCACCACAAGCATTTTCATAGGTTACTGCTGGTATGTGCGGATATCTGGATGGACATGAATAAATTCTTTGGTCATGGAGGAGGATACAGACATCTTAGAATAGGTTCTAACTGGTGTCAGGACATGAAGGTTATTTTCATAGTTAAGAACTGTGGGCAAAGAACTCATAAAGGGGGTACACTCTGAGGGTTCTATAGGTTCAGGAGCTGAATGTGGGACTGAGATAAAACTAATTGAAGATGGAACTGCTATTCTGTTAAGTTGTTTTCTTTCTGCTGTTGTGAAATCATTCTCTGAGAAATGCCGGCTGCATATGAACCTCTTGTGCAGTGTTCTTTTATTCTGTATACTGTAGTCTATGCCCAGTCTCTCTGCCCACAACTGAGCCCTGTGAATTAAAATTATAATTATTACAGCAATATAGAAATTAATGTGTAATTCAAGTACATCTGCTACCCCATTTTCCAAACACGTGAACTACATTTGTAATATATTAATGGTAGTGAACAGTGTCAATAATAATAGTCAGTCAGCAACTGAAAAATTATTTAAAATGCAACAGAAAATAGTGAAAAATACTGGAGTATAATGCGTTGGTCATCAAATATGTACATAATTTAAAACCTCTTATTCCTTTACGAAAACACCACTGTATAATTTTTCAATGTTGATGTACAATACAGTTCATATGGGCTACTTCTTGCATGATGCATTTTCAGTTCACATGAGAATACTTTTATGAACTCTGATATGTAATCTTAGCAGAGAGTAAACTTTCAAAAATGGTTTAATGACATAACAAGTGAAAGACCACTGAGACATCATATACACATACCGTTCCTGATTCCTAGGAAAACTGAAGAATTTAAGTTGTTTATTCTTGTTGGAACCTAGGCATCCTTGGGCATAGCAGGTTCTGTAAACCGTCCTCAAGTGCGACCTTAATAAATAGCATGATTTGTCTTCATTAATCACTGTCAAGAGTAAGTTGGTCAATATTCAGCTGCAACTGTTACTGAATATTATCATTATATGTTATCCATAATGATCATCTTTACTAGTTCGTCAAATTGCCACAAGTTCTTATACAGTGAATCCTGAAAGTCTAATTCAGGCAAGACAGCCATGAGCATGTGATTATATATATATATACCACTTATGTGCAAACTATGTACATGTGCTTGGATGTAGTAGTCTACATATTGTTACAGCGCAGTTTCATTTGTCTGGGTCTTAGTTGAATACAAAATATTGATCATACAGAAGAAACCATGGTAATCCAAAATATTAGCAGCATAGGACACCTGACAATCTTTGAGGAAACTTCACTTGCTTAAAACTTTAAATCTAATATATGTAATAAATCGTAATATTAATACTGTAAATTTAACATCAATAAACACAATGTTCTAAATATGCAAAGAAGTCCACTGACCTGTCCAGAACTGTTGTGAGTTTTTCTGTTGTTACTTCTTTCAATGTTACCTTCGCTGTAGCAACAACTTTTGAGTCTTCCTGATATACAAGAAAACAACTATTACTTGAATACTGGAAAGTCTCATACTAAATGGGAGGGTGTTTTGGGCTATGACAATGTTAAGTAGAGGACAAAAATTCATATTTTTATAAATATCACTAAAATACACAATCTGATTTGTATTGACATTATGATTAACTGATTTAGAATCAACTGAACAGCTATGAATATATGTAACTATCACACAACCCAGTCAGTAACCAACTAATAAGTCTGATCTAAAATCTAAAAGTTTGTGACGATGGAGCGTTATTTAAACAAAAAGTTTTTTGGATGTTTTCCATCATCTAATACAAATAATAAAATTGAACGACGTTTTGGATATGGGACTCTATCTCCGTCTTCAGGTAAACCTACTCTGTTGGCCCAAATCGATAGAACTTTAGGGATTAGCTCTATCAATTGGGCCCAACAAGCACTCCCCGTGTGCAATCTATGTGGCCTCTGAATTGTCAAAAGATGCACCAGATGCAAGGAAAAAACTTATAACTGAAGAACATTAAATTACCCTTCCTCAATATTTGTTCACTGAATGGAATTAAACCATATCAATGCACTGGTTTTTCAACACGTGATAACGTTTTTGGTAAATGATCTAAAATTAAATATAAAACTTTAACCTAAACTAAATCTAACAATGGCTATACCACTGCTAATATCCTAGACCAATATTTAGGAGGTACCTGGTTCAAATCTCTGCCAGGTTACCTCCTATTCTAGCTGAGGGGTTTCCTCAGTCTCTCCAGGTACATGTCAGGTATAGTACTCTGACACAGAGCATGTCCAACTACAAAATCCTCATTTATCACTACCAATATTTGCATTCTAAGTCATTTTAACAGGTTTTCGGATTTTCAAAGCCTCATTAAGTGAAAAAGGGGTTTTTCAAATCATCATAATGGCTAAATACAATTTGGAAAGTACCTGTTCACCCAAAAGAGGCTATGATGAAGACTTCAGATAAGCCATTATCATGAAACCTGATTTAGTATGTTTTGGAATTCAGCTCATCAATTGGCTGTCTGATTAGCGAACGTTTGTTTGAGGTTTTGTGGTCAATGTAAAGACACTGTCAGTAGCTTGAGGACAGATTGATTAATTTTCAGAAATTAGAAATGAAATAGTAGAAAGCAGTCATTACTTAATTTATGGTATTATCCTGACATTGCCAGCTGAAACCAAAAATAAAAAGAAATCACATCTATGATGGCTTCAGTAACCTTCTTAATTAAATATTAAGTAGGTAATAGTAATAGTGGCTGGAATAATTTACTTTTACAAAATCCCCTTAGAAAGACGTTAATTGAGACAGAGTCTGGTGATTAAGGAGCACACGCAATTGGTCCATATTGTGGACAGACAACTGTCCATTAAACTGAACAGTTCACTGAATGTGTCAGAATTATTTTTCTTTAAAGCAGTGTCACTGGAACTGTGTACCATGTATTCCAAATACCAGTCAAAGATGACAACTGAAAAGGAAGTTCAATTCTTCAGCAAGACATAATGCACATGTGCCAAAATTTATGCTGCATCACTACAGGCACTCAAAGTAATTAAGTAATTAAATGTAAGCTGGCTACATTTATTTCAGTATTTGTAAGTGATTATATATGAGAAAAAATCTTTCAAGAATCACAAAATTTTAAAGTCCAATTTGTGCTCATTCTTTATTATCCAGATAACACCCATTAGTAACTTCACCTTCTCCCAAAGAGACTGCAACAGTTTACCATTCATGTGAAAGATACACTCTGGGAAGCTTCCAAAGGAGAAATATTAAGAGAATTTTTATTTTACATAATTATGTTAAAAGACATTGCAAAGTGTAATTAAATTGTGCTTTTACTGCACTTCTTGATGGTTTTCAAACAAACAAACTGTACATGCAAGAAGTAACGAAATAGACGTCTCACAAACAGCAACTCACCTTCATTTTAATCTTTTCTCCAGGATATGTCTGTGTTGCATCCTCCTTTTTAAATATTGGCCCAGTGAGACTATTTTCATTCCAAGAAGTCATCAAGAACACCTCAGTTTTTGAATCAGACTCATTCTTGTTAATATCTTTCACAACCTATATAAATATCATATTAATATAATCACAGAAATCAAGAACCTTTGTATATATATATGTCAATTATTATGTTTAAATGCTCATCATTTCTGAAGTACTTGCTAGATGAATATTATCACACTGCAGTGAAGAATGGACCACAAGGAGGAATAATAAAGGTAACAATAATGTTTGTCCTGTGCTTAATTAAATACAATGCCATAAAGAGATAGTCCTGCTAATGAAGACCACACAATCAACTTGTATGAGGAAAAGAAGGTACTCTCCAAACACAATATGAGCACCATATAAAGATGCCGCTTCTTCTGCCTTTGTCTCTTTAAAACAGATAACATATTTTGAATGCAGTTCAGAAATAGTTCTTTCTTATGTTCAGCACAGACTGGATTCTTACTCTTTCGCACAAAAATAATCTTGACTTTCTAAACTGCATATTGCACATGGGACTGATTAAAAGAAACTCAGACAAAAATGCATATGGGGGTCTAGCTGGATCCCAAGACACTTATAACAGCGTTCCTTTTGGTTTGATCAAAGCACGGGTCTGCTCACTTCAAAGTCATGACCCAAATCAAAGTACATGGACTAACAGCATTTCAGGATGCATACGCTGTAATATATAGATGGGAGAACTGCCTGTAAGGGTACATCTGGACCATACTATGCATCCATGGTTAAGAAAGACTGTGAATGTAAATGGTTACTTTAATACAGTTAGCAAACTATTAACACTGTACTAGCACAAACATTGAACTAAAATATTTCTAAAACACACTTCTGTAATAACAGGTTACACAGAGACAAGAAGTTGTTTGATACAATAGAAGTTCTTATTTCTGCAGTAAACCAGTTGGTAGTACTGTGAGATGGAGAACATAGAAGTGCAGTTGTCTTTTGGGTGGATAATGTGTTTCTGTAGACAGAATATAGAAACAGCTGACTGACGCACATGTTTCAAGCAATGTTTACATATATTTGGAAATGTAAGTAAATGAATGTAATCATTGTTGTTTATTTGAAAATAGAGAATGATTTTTTTTCACATTCCTAGAATACAATGTTATAATGATACACATACAGGCCCACGCCGAGCGCATTTGCTACCACTATGTATGTATTTATTAAATCTTTCTATTTTTAGATTACCAAGTTTAATTATGGATGGATTCCAGTTCTTTTTAACAACCCTTTAATCATGGCTCCCATAGGTAATTGCATACTTAGCTACCCTCTGACACAACCCCTAATTTTAAGCACTCCAATGTAATGCTTCAAAATTCTGTGCCCCACAGCAAGTTGCTGCCACTCTAATGTTGCTGCCTGGGTGCGATTCATCCGTTGCACCAATAGGACGATGCGGCTCTGCATATACAGATAATAATACTATCCAAGCTGTGATATCTGCAAACTAAGCTAACTTAAATAAATTAATTTTTATTTAAAACTACTCTGATAACATAATAATCATCCTGCCCAACAAATGGTTGGTGTTAAAGCTACAATAGAATATCACAGAGAGTGGTATATCAGAAACAATATGAAAGCTAACTGAAAGGCCATAAGATATTTCACTAAGGTATGATGAGAATTGCATGCACTTAGTGTATGATCAGGCTCAGTAAACAGTCTGATGTTTTAACTCTTTACAGGGAAGCGATAACTGTTCCTACTACCAGTCTTTTTAAATATTCTACAGCTCAAAATTTTGCCCCAAAATGTATTTATTGGTTTAATTTGGTAATTTGGCTCTCAGAATAAATGAAAACCATTTTCCTATACTACATCTACAGAATGATCGTCTGACATGAATGTCGTGTTTCCTTTTGAAGTAGAAACAAAAATTTTATGTAAGATTTGAGGTTCTCGCAGTTGCAAATATGAAGATGGCTGTCTTCTGGTTTGGAATTCAAGGAGCGCTGATAAGGGTAAGTTCCTTCAACCACTCTCTCTTGAATGTCCTTCATCACACTGGCCAGGCTGTGGTACAATCCCCTACCCTATTGGCTGGCTCCCTTGCCCTCGTCCAATACTGACCTTCCCCACTGGTCTGCCTAAGATTCTACGTACCCTGATTGGTTCCTAGGGTCTACATCTTACCCTCCTGATGATGGAGGCAGTAAACATCCCTGAAACGTTGGTTAACTTTTTCTACCAGACTATACAGCACTACAGCTCAGAAGAGAACTATTTTCAAAACTTTCCATATTATTTAGTTGATTTTTCCCAGTTCTAGAAATGTAGCAAAATACAGATAACTTGAAGCACAACTTACCTTAGACTCTTTCTTCACCTCAGGCAATGCTAAAGGGTCCTCCTCAAATCCAGTTCGAGCTAAGTTATCATTACTCATTAAAGACAGTGGAAAAGTTTCTTCTTCGGTTACATGTTCTTCTTTGATTATACTCATGTTGAGCTGCAAACATGAAATTATATTAATTTTTTCTGCTGTCTATACAGGATTAAAAGTGTCACAAAAAAATTTTAAACAGGCATTAATATGCCATCAACAGACATAACTGTGAACCTTGACAGATCAAAGTGACTGTCTTCTGTTATGTTGCACCATGTGTAGTGTAGTACAAATTGAATGATGTTTCAGGTGCTTACTGCAACATGGCATGATGACTTGATGATAGAGTCAGTAAGCACCTATGAAATGTCAGTCAGTTCTTACCAGACTATATCGTGCAACACCCCATAAGACTGTTATCTTTATATCTGTTGCCACGAGAACCTGAAATCCTACATTGACAGCTCAGTCAATGTTGTGACTAATTATATGTCTAACAGCCAAAGATTTTTTTTCTTTACTAACATGTCAAGAACATCTGCCTAAAAGGTATGTGTTGCAGGGGCATATGTACGAAAGTTTTAGCTGGGCTGATACTGTGAATCAGGGCAGCCATCCTAGGTTCTGCAGTCAAGCATCACACATATACATGCATATTACTACATTCATTGGATCCATAAGTTAGTCAGATAAAAATAGGATGTGGAATAAAAATACAATACGTATATATAAGTGCAATCGAAAATATTATAAACTTTTAACACAGAAAAAAAATTCCACATAAAGCAATGAACTGTTTCAAATAAATCCACAAACACAGCCAATAAATTGTACTACAAGGAAAAATAATCTTGGTCATAATCGTACAAATTTCTTTAAAAAATAAAAGTGTCTGCAGAACACGTGGCATACAAAAACTACAACTTTCATACTCAAACAATTGCTTCTCTCTCTCTCTCTTTCTTTTTAAGAACCATACTGGTTTTCTCCAAGTTAAACTTTTCGGACAAAACCTCAAGGTTTCGCACTGTTACCATTTCATAATTGACTAATAACTTTATTTCATACGGCATTTGGAGGCATGTTTATGATCTACCTCAATACCAAATTTAATATGCCTAGTTCCAAGGGTCATCATCGAACCGTAAGCTAGATGTAAGTTTCATGCAGTCGTCAATTTGTTGTTTTACATTCTACAAAGATTACCGTGCCAAAAATTTAATGTTTTCTGAAGATATTACCACACATCATTTCAGACCCCTAGATTAGGTGGCGCTAGCATGACTCCCATCGCACAAATTCGTGCGTCCGCCATGTTTGTATCACAGTATTGTAGGAAATTAAAATAAAAAATAACTTCACACCTAAACCTACATTTTCCTTCTTTATTAAGGTAGAAACGTCGGCTACAAGCCCGATTCAGTATCGAAACTGCACAAAATAGAACCCATTGACTTCTGAACATAAGGCAGTAATTATTATATGTTATTTAGTACTCTGCTCCGTATTAACACACCTAGGCTGTCTTTTCCTTATTTCTCACCGGTAAATAATGGTATAGCATTCCTTTCAGTACCCTCTTCAAAACAATCCTTGCATTGATTTGGAACGAACAACCTTTTAATTTGATATTACGTCATTAAAACCCCAACGAACCGACTGTAATGATTAAAATATTGCAGTGTTGGATGTGTGACAGTTATCACAACTGGTGGAACGGCCGTAGCCTATGTTTCATATTGTAAAATCAGCGTATTTTCCTGTAGAAACGAACATCCACCCAAAAATGGCCATAGAACATCTAATTCTACTGTTAAGATTCAAACCTAAAAAAACATGGCATGTCCCATATCTGCTCAGTAATACACAACATCCAAAGCATTGCACCCATTACGCGTCTATAGCTATACATTTTCGAATAGAACTGCTACACAACACTCCTTATCGCTATTAATTGCTCCCTTTTACGCATAAGTCGAACAGAAAAAGTCACTTTCTGGTCATGAAGTCATACCTCTGTATCCAACACATTAACATCCGATCCCTATTGCTAGTTCATAGGCATTATTACAATATTATGATGATTTGTATGTATTATTTCTAATATATTGTACTCTTAATTGTGATGTATCCTGCTTTCTAGAATCCAGGGGATGCATCTTTATCTGTGTGATTATAACATTCAATCTAATGATTATTTAGTCTATTAAACCCTTACTGAAGACTATAAGAGTAACATGCAGTTTGCAAACCAGTATACGCTGTCTTATCACCATATCACGGATAAGAGAGGAATTTTGTTTCACGTTAGCTGTCTCTACCACACACGAACTGAGCCCATGAAGTTCATAGCGCACATAACCTCAAAACATCTCTAAGCAGATCTCAATGTTATCCATCGGAAATATATGACGTTTATGACGTCACATTTTACTTTACTGCCATCTATGAACATGGCCTAGAGAGCAACGCCACGAGCGGACAATACGAAAATTATAATTGGGTACATGTAGCTACCGTCCGGTCGTGTTGTAGTAGTTCCACAACAGCTACTGATAGATGGAAGCACAAGAAAACGTGACGTCATGCAACGCCTAAGTTGTACGTTAACTGTTTCGGTAACCAATTAAATATTGCTATTCCACACTATACAACTCCGCAAGTCACTGCAACAGTTTCGACTGCACATCCTGTTCTGAGTCTAGAATGTTCAGGTTGCGAAATATTGATGAAAAAAATTGCATTTAAACTGAAATTGTTTATTGTGACATTTGGGTGTAAAATGTCAGTGTTTAACATTTTTTGTTTCCATCGTCTTCCATAAGGCAACAATGCAAACATATCTTAAGACCTTATTAGTCACATCCGTTACTATTGCTACACTAATGTTTTTTCGCTTGCAGAAGCAAGCTGGGAATGAAGAGAAAAAAGTATTTTGGCCTATATATTAGTGATGTATACTTCTGGGAGCGGTTCTCATTTCTACTCTTACTCAGTTCTCCTCCATTGTGTTCGTTCACCTTCGTACGCGAACTTAGTTCTGAGTTTGTCCCACAGGCAAAAACCAAGGAACTGCGGTCTTGTGAGTGAGGCCTACTGAGTGATTCTGGATTGTTTTATATATCACTGCTAAGCATGGAGGCGCCCCGTAAGAAATACACACTATTTAAGCTTGCATTGAAAGCAACAGCTGCAATTATTAACCTACATTTATTTGTTTATACCTGTTGTACAATTTTTTAACAATTAATATCATGTTTGCTCTTTTTTTACGACAGAGCTTTTAGGAAACTATACGTGCAGAACAGAATTTCAGTTCAGTTTTAAGTATGAAATTAGCTGTGTGCTTTCGGCATACAATTAGACCTAAAATCTGTTTATTCCAGAAAGGGACCCTGGATAGTCGGAAGTGGCAAATCTTTTCCGTACACGAAATAATATGGGGAGTGCTTTTTTTTTGAGCAATGCGGAGTTGCTCTATACGCCATTGCCGCATACGGAACATAACCTTTCCCAATTCTTGGCATACTTCTCTATTTAATTAGAAAAACAGAATCACAGATATTTAGAAAAATATACAGAAATGATTTAAACTTATTGCTGGTGTTATTATCTTCATAAACAGATTTCCATTTTCCACTCATTAGAATAAGCTGAAACTGCATTATTTTCTCATTTTTACGTTTCTTCTTCTGTGCTTCAGAGGCATTACCTGATGCAGCAGTATTATTAATCATCATGTTCTGTTGGGCCATTTATTATGGGAGATGTAGCAGATGAGCTTAATCTTAAACTGTCCACAAAAACATTATCAAATCCTACTCTCTACAGTGACTTGTCGAAACACTGATGTTTCCTAACAAAAATACACACACCTCCCCTCTTAATGTTTAGTCTGTAAAGCAGGAACCTAATAAACAACCAGTTAGTGTAAGGTGCCATTTTAGTTTTAACGTACTTACCATTTCCAGCAATGCGTATCGACGCAGGATTGGTGTAACCTATCAAGTAATGATGTATTTACTAGTGCACAGGACTCCGACATTAGTTTTTCAATCGGTTGTTTTAATTGTCTGACACAAAACCCATATAACCTACGTGTTTATTTCAATACGAGGTGCGATCGGAAAGTTTCAAGACTGCGCCTATAAAAACCCGTACACTTATCTCAGGTATTAAATTCATCCATCACCCTCGAAGTAGTTCCCCTGGGAGTGAACACAACGACCCCAGCGCCGCTGCCAAGCCTGGAAGCATCCCTGGAAATCTTTCTTTGCCAGCCTGTCAAGCACCATCTGCGATTCTGCCTGAATCTCTTCTATCGTCTCAAATCTCCTTCCCTTTAGCTGAATTGTCATCTTTGGGAAGAGGAAGAAGGCACTGATTCACTATGAATGTAGGCCGCACCCCCTAGCAGCAGCAGCTCGTACTACATCCGGTTCGCCCTCTATTGACACAGTCTTGAAACTTTCCGATCGCACCTCGTACATGTATACAAAATGAGTCGGACACTTCAGTCAGCATAGTGACTGAATACTGCAGTTTCTCAACCCTTTTTTCGTGGAGAAACCCCCAAAATTTGTTCATATCCCGTAAAACTCCTTCCTATGAAAACGTATACAGGCCAAAGTTGATAGCGGGGAGTACAATTCAATTACTGCTAAATTATTGTCAAGAAACTTCATTTGTAAAGGGCTGCATTGTAAGAAAAAACAAAACAACCATTTACCTGTCAATTCTTATTGTATTATATATCTTTTTTGAAATATAAAATAATCAAAATAAAGTTCACATCCAAAGTCAATATAAGATTTACTGTCCGTGTTACTCTTCCCGGCCACTCGTTTGTGGGTGCGCCGTGGGTTTGGGCGAGTTCACATTCCGATGTTGCTTCCCAAAGGGGTGTTTGGCTTAGTTGTGTTGCAGCTGTGGACATGAGGTTGTATTGCTGACAATGCCGATTTGTCATACTAACGTTCAGGCAAACATCCTGTAGCTTTTAAGATGCCTCCTAATCAAATTCTTGGAAATGCTTTGGTGTAGTGAAAGTGTCTTGTAGTGGTGTTGTTATAGCTCCAGGTGTTTTCTACGAGTACAGGCAACTCTCGGTTTACGAAAGAGTTCCGTTCCAACACGTTCGTTATGTGTATCTTGCATTCCTGAGCTTTTACGATACGTTTCGTATACGTTAGCAGCCATTTTAAAGCATTAAAATCATGTACTAAACATCGAATGGTCTATACAATACGTTTTATTATGTATGGGTTATGGTTTATCGCATACTATACGTAACGTAAAATAAAATAACTGGTTAGATTATTTTTATTAACCAAGAACAGTTCAGTATAATTATCGTATAATAATTTTAAGTTTATTTATTTAAATCTCACAATTATGGTCACTATACGTTTGGCATTTCGTATTATAAGGAACTCTATCTATTGGCGACTTAAGAAATTTTGAATGAATTGTGACGTTCGTTATAGCGAATGTTCGTAAACCGAGAGTTGCCTGTATTGGGTACGTACGGCACATGTTTTTCAATGGGCTAGTAGTTGCGGACCCGCACGCTGGAGTGAAGTAGTTGCTTCCGAGAAAGTTCCCCCCACTATTTTCCCCTACATTCCTCTATAGACGCAGGTCAGAGGCCAGGACTTTGTGTGACACTAGGGCCTGTTTCTTTTACACAAATGTAGAATTCTTGCCCAAACTTACAAAAAAAAAAAACACACTCCCAGTTCTTCGTCGACAGACAGCGGACGATTTTTTTTTTGCTTTTAATGTTTTGTCAGACATGAGAAAGTTTGTTCACAGAAATACGATGTTTAAAACTGGAGTCAGCTATTCACTGTTTTTCCTCAGATCTCCCCTAACCGCCTTCATGGTGCGTTCCGGGATTACTTAACCTGTTTTTAAGATGAATACAAAAGAATATTTCTGCCCTCTCTCAAGGCTTTCATTGTTCACATCCTTTAAGATTATGTCTAAGAACTCGCACTTCTTTTGCTTTACGCTTCTACACATTTTCTGGATTTTTAAATACTGTAAATCAGCCTGCAGTCACATATTGGGAAAATGTGTGATGCGTGAACTTGCGACTTGGGTTTTGTTTCTGTTGTCAAGATTCCTTTTATGTGATTAGGTTCTCAGAAAGAACAATAACGAGGAACACATAAGTTTTACAAAAGCTAGCAGAAAGGTGGACCTGCTAGTAAATTCAGAAATAACTAAGTACATGTAAGTATCCCGTCGTCAGCAGACAGGCGGGCAGAATCATATTGAGGTGGCTAATAAGTCCTTTGAAAGTGTGACAAAGTTCAAATATTTGGGAACAACAATAACAAATCAAAATAATACTCATGAGGAGGTTAGGAGGAGACTAAATTCCGGAAATGCCTGATACTTCTCAGTTCAAATTATTTTGTCTTTCCCTCTGATTTCTATGAACCTGAATATTAAAGTTTACTAAACAATAATTCTGCCTGTTGTTTTGTATGGGTGCGAAACATGGTCTCTCACTCAGAGGGAGGAACACAGATTGCAGGTGTTGAGGAGGATATTTGGGCCTAAGAGAGAAGACGATGGGGCATGGAGAAAACTGCACAATGATGAGCTTAAAAATCTGTACTGCTTCTCCAGTATTGTCAGGGTGATTAAGTCGAGAAGAATGAGATGGGCGGGGTATGTGGCACGCATGGATGGACAAGAGGTGTGCACCTGTTTTTGGTCGAGAAGCCTGAGGGGAAGAGACCGCTGGGGAAACCTAGACGTAGATGGGAGGATAATATCAGGCGGGATCTATGGGAGATAGGAGTTGAAGGAGAATGGACTTTCCTGGCCCAGGACAGGGACCGGTGGAGGGCTTTGGTTAAGTCGGTGATGAACCTTCGGGTTCCCTAGGGTATCTATCTAGTTAGTTAGTAGGTAGTATACTTCTCATAAAGTAGAAAAAGTATTTTAAGTGGCAGCTTTTTATTTGT